CACTCACACCATATCTCGCATCCCTCTACACTTCTCCCACATCTCCCCACATTTCTCTCACATCTCCTCATGCTTCTCTCGCATCTCTCCACACTTCTCCCGTACTTCTTCCACATCTGCCCATAGTTCTCTCGCATTTCCCTATACTTCTTCCACATCTCCCCATATTTCTTCCGCATCTCCTGCACTTCTCCCACATCTCCCGACACTTCTCTCATCTCTCCACACTTCTCCCACACCCGTCCATGCTTCTCTCGCATTTCTCTACACTTCTCCCACTTCTCCCGCATCTCCCCACGCTTCTCCTACATCCCCCCGCACTTCTCCCGCATCTCCCCACACTTCTCTCACATCTCCTGCACTTTTCCCACATCTTCCTACACTTCTCCCATATCTCCCCACACTTCTCTCACATCCCCCGCACTTCTCCCGCATCTCCTCACATTTCTCTCACATCTTCCTACACTTCTCTTGCATCTCCCTACACTTCTCCAGCATGCCCAAGATTCTAGATATGTGACACTGCTGTCCATGTCCCACTTTACTCACATCCAGCGCTATCCTCCATTTTCTTATTAAATATTTGCTATGCCAATGTAATCCTCTATTCAAGTATGTGGTGTGCAAGGACATCGACTTTCCGCGAAAAAAGAACGAAGGCAAGCTCATTAATAAATTTCGTCTCTCTCTCTCTCTCTGTGGATGACTCATGTAATACAAAAGGCATACTGCATCATTATCAAAGAAATATGAGAAGAGTTCCTGATATTTTGTTGAGCCTATTCAAATAATGGTATTTCCGAGTCTTCATCCTCCAAATCTGAAACCTGGCGATAAAGTTGCCATTTTCTCGTTGTCTTATGCAGCATCAGGAGAGTTTCCACATATTTTGAGTTGACGCTTAGTCGGATACGAAGTATTTTTCGATTAGAACCAATCGAATTTTCAATTACCCGCCAGTTCGAAACATCAAAGGAAGAACGCACAAAAGATTTGATTGATGCCTTTCTCGATCCACAAATTAAAGGAGTGATAGCTTCCATTGAAGGAGACAACCAAGTGACCTTCATTAAAAATTTACTACTGGAGTCATTCATCCAAAATTCCAAGTTTTTTTTTTGGATACAATGATA